GAGGTGTCTTTTCTGCAATATTGTGTAAAGTCATTTCTGACACAAATGAAAATCTGGCATTTTGAGTTCATAAAAGTTATCAAATTCTTGCTCAAGGTCTTGAGGAATGCATGCCACACTTCTGAAAGTGCGCGGTTTAGGTCCTAAAGTGTCTGGAGAATTGTTTAACCCCTTAGTTTAAGGTCGATATTCTGTAGCATATCGTATATGACAAGTCGGGTAAAATCTGAGTTAACTGGCCAAGCCGTCGAATGATATCTTTTGCTTATACAAGGCTTCTGGCATCAGAGATGCTCGATGCGGGCGAGTATTAATATCCATTGGCAAAACATATAGGCAAAACGTACTCTAAACTACCTTGAGTTCGAAGTCTTCGTATACATGTTTGGGACTGTTTATATAACTTGCATAAAAGATATGTGGTTCGATACTGCAATTTGTGATGATTTGTTTCCAGATTATGAAACCGTTTTGGAAGAAATGGGGTCTTTTATGGATAAGGTAAGACGCGATTTGTGTTCCTTTTTCCATCTAGATCGTAACATGTTAAAAACGCCAGTTTAGGTTATATCTGAACTTGGTTGAACAACATACTGTCCCATTCCTCTTGGCTAAGTTCAGCATGAAGGTAACACTAACTTATGTTTTGTCGTATAAAATGAAGTGAGTCAGCAACAAACACTTTTTTCCTTTGCAGAAAAAGCGGTCACGTGAAGGTCTGTGTAGCACTAGAGCGGTTGATTTCAGATTTGTGTCAGACTGAAAGTCTGAAACCAATTCTATTATATTCACTTCACGGTTTCTCAAGGCCAACAGCATCAGTAAACTTCCTTTGCTTGGAAATGTTCCTGTTTGCCAACTATGACTGGGCTGTGTATTATCTGATTTGCTGCTAATATAGAGGTTCGAAGTTTTTTTGTTTGCCTTTTTCAGAGATATTCAGATCTTGGGAAGCTTCCATTTCTGTTTGTTCTCCACTGAGTCTACCGAATAACCGCACTTTTCTCTTCGCATGAATGATGCCTTTGAGTCAAAACCTATGAATACTGTTATGAAATGTCCAGGCGCTTTAAGATAGCTTAGACGCAAAGCAGGTTTAGAATTACATGAAATTGGCAAAGGAAGGCAGGGTTGCCATATTTGGTGCGAAATCGTCCATTTGGCGACAAAATTGGTAATATGCCATAGACGGATAGAGAACCTTCTGGAACGAATTCTTACTGGATTAGCCCAGAATGTTCTCGAACGCAAGCCAAAAGCTGTATAAACCCTGTTGATACGTGGAGAGTCAGTTAATAGTCAGTCAGTGAGTGCCTAGTCGAGTTAGTGAGCGTCTCGAAGTCTAGTGCATCGAAAGAGTCTCTTAGTGTATCGCGAATTAGTGCATCGTCGAGTTCTATCTGAGAGTGGGTTCATCTCCGAAAACAACCGAACCGAGTCGGGAGCTGTACTCTAATGTATCGTCAAGTGCATCGCGAGTTGCAGCATGGAGAGTCGCGAAAGTATGTAGAGTCCCGAGAACAACCCAACAGAGTCGGGATCTGAACTCTGGTGCTTTCCCGTGAAGCTGTCTTCACCGTTATAGCCTGATAGCCTGAAGGCTGTGTTTCTGATTGTTTCAGCGTGTTTATAGTTTCTTCGATTACTGTAAAAAAGTTGTTGGAGATGTCTTGAATAATATTGACTAATAAATTGTGTTTTGATACTTCATCAAGTGTCATCGTTAATCCCTCCAAATCCACGAATCCTTAACGTGAGGAGAAAACCGTAACAATACTAATAACGCTCATAAAACGCATTAGTTTTAAATAATACAACACATCCATATTCTAATATATGCTCATTGCGTAAAACTTTGACAATCCCTAGGTTTGCACATTTCCTGTGCTGACCTAAGCACGGAAATTCAAAGTGGCGTTTATTTGCAGTTACGCAATATCATTACCCCCATTAAACGTTTTTTGAAAAACGTATTCACTCAGCCTATTTTTCAGATTGTCCGTTTAATTTGACAAGTCCTCCATTTTTGATTTCCCAGTGTTAGCCGGTTTTAGCTCCATAAAAAAGCAATGCTAGAAATCTAAAATTTGTAGAAAACGCTACAGCGAGCAAATTGAAACTCAGAATTGCTACAAGCTCGCAAAAAAGGTATAAAAAAGAGACAAAACAGAACAGTTTCTTTTTTTTTTTCAGTTTTTTAAAAGTGACGCATTTTAACTAAATCACCTCATTCACCGTTTTTAGTCCTCGCAACTTATGAGATTTCTAGTCATTCGTGACGATATAAGAATTGCTTATTGATCTAAAAACTAATTTTCACATGCCATGCAACAAGACACTGTAGAAAAACATAGTTCTTTGTTTTCAAATTTTAGTTGTGGCATACATGATGTATTAAAGATTTGTGTAAACAGACTTTTAAAGTTAAATTAAGATGGAATACTGAAACATGATCATTGTTTTCCTAACACTGCACTGAAATAAAATAAGCACGGTAATAATTTGTAAATTTTCTTTTTGGTTTGCTATTTTTTCAAATTGCGAGCCCAAATCGTCCAGACATATTGGACATTTTTAACGTCGAAAGCAGTGGACACTTTAGTAGGAAGGCACCTAATAAGTAGGCCACTGTTGTCTCCTATGAGAGAATGGGCAAACTACATGCATGCCTTCTCCCGGATTCGAATCCGGGTCCTTCGTCATGGCAATCAGAGTCACTAACCACTTTCCCAACTGGGCGCCTTTTCGTTTGTTTTATTGATGGTCGAATTTTGAAGTAGCAATTTCACCGCATTTTGAAGCCATGCAAAGGATATTTGCAATCATCTAAATTTTCATACTTGTATCAAATTTCCTATTTCTAGAACGCCAGCCAGAACAGCCTAGTAGCTAGTTCTTTTAAAACTATTCCAAGTGTTGTAATACAGAAGGATTTAAGTAACCAATTAAAAGCTGATATATGACGAACGGCGCAGTGTGGCAGTAATAGGAAATTTTCATTGGTTATCTTGCAGAAATATACTTCTGCTGGATAAGACATGACAGATTAAAAAAATGGATAACATTTATTCGCAAAGTTATGCAGGATATCAACTTTCCCTAATAGCATATCGGAAGCACTAAAAATCCCTATGAATACAAACATCCAACTTTCATCCTGTCGATTATGTGTCTCCATGGAACATAAATATGTTTTACCTACTGCAACATTTACTGATTTCTGTTGTCAGCGATCACCGCAATAATTGTTTTTAAGATAAAATGAATTATCACTGCCCGCTTCAGCTGTGCATATTGTAAATTTGTTGCGTTCTTCGGGTTCGTGAATTTGGAGTGATTCTTGACGACACTTGATGAAGAATCAAAACACAATTTATTCGCCAGTATTACGCAGGACAGCTCAAAAGACACGTTTATAGTCATCGAAGAACTACAATAAATACGCTGAATGAATCAGCAACACAGCCATCAGGCTATAACGGTAAAGAAAGCTTCACGGCAAAGCGCTAATATACAGCTCCTGACTCGAGTCGGTCGCCTTGGAGCTAATCTCTGAACTCAGAACACTACTATTGAAGTCAACATACTCTCAATACTATCAAGATACACTCTAGTCCGCGTACAGGCAGGGTATATATATATATATTGCTTTTTACATACCTTCGAGAACATTCTCGGGAAAACTGGTAAGAATTCTTTCTACAATGTTCTCATTTCGTCTATGGCAAATCACAAGTTTTGTAGCTAAATATCACCAAAATGGGCGGTGCCGCTGGTCTGCTAACCCAAATGTTCTGCTAACCCTAAACCCCTAAGCCCCGCTTTGCTACTCATATATATATATATATATATATATATATATAGATGTAAAATATAAAAAAAAATACGATATCTTTGCTCTACGCGAACAAACAACCTCTAATTAACTTTCCACAATTTCAGGATCTTCCCCTAGAACAGTACTTTCGAGAACATTCTGCCATGTTATGTAATCGCTATTATAAATAAAGAGTTCGCGCCATTTTTTTTTTTTTTTTTTTTTTTTTTTTCCTCGTCAGATTGCTTTTCTCCTCCTGCCACTTAAGACCTTATTGCTGCCACCCTCGCTTCTTCTTTCCTTTGTTAGAATAGTTATGACGTCGAAAACTTAACTTTAAACTTATTTTAATTTAAATAATTATTCGATATGTAGTTTTGGAGAATCTAAAATAATAATGATCTGCTGTGAATAAAGATCTGGAGTTTTAAAAGATCTAATCTTTCGGTGTCATCGTTTCTGCTGTAAGCCACTCAGCCATGTCCGGATTTTGATGCCAAGCTTCATTGATGTGCCCAATTGACAAAATATTACATATATATATATATATATATATATGTATATATCGTATTCATTTCTATTTGTTGTAAAATACTGAATATAAACTGACGTACATTTTCTGACAAGCCATAATGCTCTAAATGCTTCGCCTGTGTAAATGATCTAGATATTTTAGAAAGAAAAGGATTTTACAACCAAATATTAAGAAAGAAGGCCCATTTTGAGGATATACCTCATACATGCTATCATCAAAGTATGTAAACCGGCATTCTATAGCAGCGTTTCCCAACCTTTTATGGCCAAGGCACACTTGTCGCGGGGAAAAAAATCACGAGGCACACCACCATTAGAAAATGTTAAAAAATTAACTCTGTGCCTATATTGACTATAATAAAGTAATTCTCTTGAATAGGAATCAAATAAGCACAAAGAAAGTATTTTATAATTACTTCATTATGAAATATTAAGTAAACAGAATAGTGAAAAATTATAAAATACTTTCAGTGCGAAACCTGGGCCTGTTTGGCTGAACACAAAGCTGATATTCTGGCTGGAATCGAAGAAAGACACACACGTAGCTCTTCGTCAACAGTTCTCAGTCTCTCTCTGTATTTGGTTTTCATAGCAATCATGCTTGAAAAGCTAATCTCACACAGATATGTAGTGGAAAAAGGGAGCAATGTCAAAATAGCTTTGTTTGCCAGAAGGGGAACTCCTTGGCAGTATTCAACCAAAAACTGTCCAAAGGTAGATCAGCAAATCTTAGCTTGCAACCACGATTTTGTCTCAGTTCAATTAGTTCCTCCTGCTCCTGTAAAGTCATTTCCTTTCCAACAACTGATGCTGAGCTATAAGGGTCCCTAACCCAGTCAAGGCATTCAGTGGAGACTGAAGAGAAATAAAATGACAACTTCTCCTCAAGAGTTTTTAAATGCTTAACTATTATCTCACACAGTGCAGCAGTGTGAATACCTTGCCATTGCATGGTGAGTGTGAACATTTCAAGATTGCCACTTTCCACGTGTTGATACCAGAGTTGCACCTTTGAACGGAATCCATTTATTTTATCTGTACTTGTAAGCAGGTTTTCATTTCGGCCTTGCATTCGGGTGTTCAATTCATTCAGATGATGAAATATATCTGCCAGGTATGCTAGCCTTGCACACCACTCATCACTTGCAAGCTGCTTTGCGTAATCTGACCCCTCATTTGTCAGAAACACAATAAGTTCCTCCCACAGCTCATACACACGAACCAAGACCTTGCCACGCGACAACCACCGGACCTCCGTATGAAACAGCAAGGTTTTATGCTTTGCTCCCATCTCCTCACACAAAGCTGCAAATATGCGACTTTTCATGGGTCGTGACTTTACAATGTTTACCATGCGCACATCATCATCCAACACACGAACTAAGGCTGATGGTAAAGTCTTGGCTACGAGGACCTCGTGGTATAAAAAACAATGCGTAATAATCACATCTGGATTTTTTTCCTTCACTCTGCTTACAAAGGCTTTGTTGCGCCCGACCATGGCTGCAGCTCCATCGGTGCAGACACTTGTGCAGTTTTCCCACTTAAGTCCTCCTTGTTCAAGGTATTCTGATGTGACCCGAAAAATTTCTTCTCCTGTTGTTTTTCTGGCAATACCTTGCAAAAAAAGAAGTTTTCTCTAATTGCATCACCATCAACAAAACGCACATTAGCTAAGAGTTGAGCATGTCCACTGATATCAGTAGACTCGTCAAGTTGCAATGCAAATTTCTCACTGATACGGATCTTTTCCAAAACCACACTTTCGATGTCTGCAGACATGTCATTAATACGTCTGGAAATTGTGTTGTTTGAGAGATGGACTTTGGCTATTTCCTTTGCTGCTTCAGGTCTGAGCATCTCCTCTACAATAGCTTTGCAGGCAGGAAGTATTAATGTCTCTGCCACAGTGTGCGACTTTTTTGTCTTGGCTATAAGTTCAGCAACTTGATAGCTAGCTTTAAGAGCTCTTTCATTTACCTTTGTTGTTTTTCTCATAAAAGTTGCCTGTTTCTCCATGTTGTCACGCAGGCGAACAAAATAGTCCACATTCTTGTTTTGAAGCAAAGGGTGTTTCGTTTGGAGATGGCGTTTAAGTTTGCTTGGGACCATAGCACTGTTAGCTAGCTTTTCACCACGCACAGTGGAGTTGGTTTGTGTTCATCTCCAGTGAAAGTAAATCCAACTGAAATATAGCTTTCGCTATATTGCCTTGCGCCAGAGAATTTAACCATCTTTGCTTTCTTCTGACCCCCACTCATACTCGGGCTTTCATCTGGCTCCAGATTTTGTTCAGAGTCCAGTTCTTTCCTTTTCAAAAACTTGTCCATCACTGCAGTATCAGTGTCTCTCTCCTCACAGCAGCCGTTGTCTCTCTGACACTGTGTGAGGCGTCTGCCTGCGTCTCATGGGGGCGGGGACACGGCGGACACTTGTCAAGATTGGCAGGGGGAGGAGTTATAGCACTGCACAGCGCCGTGACCACCTATGACACTGGCGGGGGAGTGACGGGAGGAGTTATAGCGGGCGAACAGCACCGTGACACCCAGACCCGGCGGCACACCACGGTGCTTCAGACGGCACACCGACGGCACACTGGTGTGCCGCGGAACAGCGGTTGGGAACCGCTGTTCTATAGAATACCTAGACATCTTATGGAATGGTGAAAGCTCGCCCCAATGTACGAAATGATTACACATTTCATACATTGCCTATGAATTCTATGTAATGCCAAAGTTAAAGTTCTGGAACTGCCAGGTTCATGAATTCTATACCCCCATGGCCGAGACTGCATAAGTACAGATCCTAGCCAATAACTTCACATAGTTCTCTACGGCGACCACCGGGGAGGGGAACGGAACAGTAAGCATACCTATTAAAATTTCGCAATATAAAAATATCGTATCGCTAAATAACATATTTAGATTGATTAACATTTTTACTCTCTAATTTTCATGCATTACCTACTTCGTAAAAAATGTTTGTCATTCGAAGAAAAATTAAAGACTTTATTTAATATTATTAAGACTTAATTTAGTATTAAAAAGAGATTATTCATTTACGTACCATTTATTATAGCAGGCGTCCAATATACTCGTACATTTACTGTATGTGCATGTAAGATGTAAGTACATCTGATAAAAAGAATGTAATTACAAATAAAAAGAAAAGAAATAAAATAATACATAAAATAAAAAAAATGGAAATTCATAACCAAATACTTTTTTGTGCTTCCTTCTGGGCTGCTGTTAAATTGGTGCTGATTTCAGGTTTTAAGTACGTGACGTTATGACAAATCACCCAGAAATTCTCCGGCTTCGTGCTTTAGAAGTCCGATGAAAAATCTTGGCAAATTCACAATCAGATAAGCAATTCTCTACCACTGGAATATGAAAAATGGTACGAAATCTTGTAGTAATTAATAAAAGGAAAAGAAAAACAAGAATTAAAAAAATCACCTTCGATATTTTTAGAAAAATATATAATTGCGTATTTGAAACTCAATTTTTTCTAAAAAATGATTTTCTTTTAAGATTTACAATTCATGTTCAATTCTTCCACTTATGAACACTCAACTCAATACCGAAAATAATTTACGATTCGCCTTTTACTCGCGATTCAGAATGTTTACCTCCTTACTTAAATTTTTAAGCAATGTTTGCGTTAAATATTAAAATATTTATATTATTATACGAGAAAAAGTTGTGCCATTTGTATAAGATATTAAGTTACATTGAACCCAATTTTTCAGCTAATTGGTTACAAATTTCCGTTTTAATTTGTTTGTTAATTATACGAGATGTCTTTGATTAAATTATTTATTTTGCCTGATTACTTAAACAGGTGTTTTAACTCATTTTTTGTACTTTCATTAAGAATATTATTCATAAAGTACACATGCCCGTAAAGTATAGTATTAAACAATTAACAAATTTAATAAATTAACGATTGATAGTTAAACAATTAATACATTTGATTATTAGAGAATTAACAATTATCAAAAATAGAGCACCTTTTGAAAGTTTTATATCTGTTGGTACATAATAACAATATACGGTCTTTTACGAAAGGAAAGCAAATGTATTTCATTTCTAATAATCTTAGATTTAAATTTCAGCTTCGTAAACGTTACGAACATGATATTTTTCGTCAGAGCATAGCATAAGAGCTTTTCATCAGTATAATCAACAAAACGTAATGAGAGCACATTTATTTTTAGAAAATAAAAGTTTTTGATGCTTTTCACATTTAGTACTGTTTTATTGAATGGCAGAATAATACGAACCAAATGACGTTTTCTAAAAAATAATTCATTTCTGCTATGCTTTTTAAATTGCCGAAAATGTCCGTTCAGTAAACACTTAGGCTAATATTTTTATCAATAAATCTCATTACTAATTTGACATTATGGCATTCGGAAGCAAACGTAGATAGTTTATTAGTTTAATATGGCATTACACTTAAAGAGATGTGTTAGTGTAATATGCGAGTATAATAATGCGTAATATAACGAAGGTTTGCTTTTATAGCACTCAAAGAACTCAAATTACACATATATAGTTTTATTTCAAGCTTCAAATTAAAGATGAAAATTATATTACGTATAAATAATTAAAAGTATAGGCAACTTCAAAATCCAAATTTAATTTATTTCGTATACGTATTATTAGATAATATTACTTTTACGAAACAAACATCTCTTATTTGTTAAGCTCTCATTTGTAAATTGGCTGCTTCTAAGATTTCTTCCTAAATTGAATTTTTTTAATATATAGTGTAATTATGTGAATATGCCATTCGTATTAGAAAGTTGTTTATGTACAGCTAAATGTATTTACATGAGTTTAAAGTTTCAAAACGTTTTTAAGAACTAATGATATACATAATTTTTACACTCAGAAACCTTTCAATTAAACATTAAATGGTATTTAAAAATAAATTATCTTCACGTAAATGATCCACTGTACTGAAAAAGATATAAAGTGAAAGTAAAATTTGCAATTAAAATTTCGTTAGTTTGAAAATTTTTAATCAACACAAGCTTATGGTGGCTGAAAAAAAATCTCATTCTTTTTAATTTAATTACAAGTTCTACAATCGAATTTCAAAATGTAGGGGTATAATCTCTATCTAGGGATTGGTATTCCGGTTATTTTATTTAAAGAATTAATTTGTTGCGATAAAAACATAAATTATTTTTAAAAAATAATGTCATAATCTGCCATATTTGTATGCTATTTCGCTTATTTTCATATTTTTCTCTCAAATTTCTGTTTTAACCTTAATAAGGAAAAATAAATGTACATTTTTAAAGAGTTTGGTATCTTAAATTTAAAAATTTTATGTTTTTATCCTTAAACAAACATAAAAATTTCCTTAAGCTGTGCTCATCGGCGATTCGATATGTATTACTTTTTTTTCCCTAACTGAACAATATAATGTCTATTCTTTTAAATAAAAATATCCTTATTCAATTTAAAACTAATCTAATAATTTTAAATATTAAGCTTTCACAACTTTAAAAAATACTCTTTAAATACCTTTATTAACAGAAAAATATGTTGTAATAAATTCTTTTCTTAAATTTTACATACATTTTTTATTAAGGCATTTTCTTGTATGTCATTTCAATTTAATGAGCACTTATATTTTTATTTGTTTTATGCACTGAAGCTCCCTAAAAATTAAATGTTAACTAACTAAAGAATATTCCTGTAGAATATCTAAAGTATGTGTATTGAAAATGTGCTTTAAATTTCTTTATAAAATTTTCTTTTCTATTTTACTTACATAAACATATTTTTATGTTTGGGCAAATGGCGATTGTAAGCAGCAATGGAAATTTCATGTAAATTCATTAAGACGTTTGGAGAACAAATAAAACTTTTAATCAAATAATTTTTCTGTGAGCTACGAATGTTCTTTTATGAAATGAAATCTTAGATTTTGCTAGGAAAACGATAAAAGAATTTTTTTAACCTTAATTAGATAGATTCCTAATTTAGATATATTGCTTCGTGAATTAACTATGACTGAAGCCGAAGAGTATCCGCCATTTAATCATTACTGGGCAACAATGATGGCAGCATAATTTGAGATGATTATATGTCAATGTACTCTAGGGAAGAGAATCCAACGGTTTCGCGCTTATCTTCCTGCCCTCTATTAGTCTGTCTACACATGGACTACACAAAGTTGCTCAGCGACACAGTAAAGCATTCCTCGTAGAATTGTAGCCTGACAGCATTTCATTCTATGTGAGGCGAATATTTTTTTTTCTTAAGTTGCTCTGAGTATTAAGCCAGTTAGAGAAATCAAAACAGTTAACATAATTATCCAATAAGAGACCTCCAT